ACAGGGGCGCCGTAGAGGGCCATGGACCGCACGACCCCGGCGTATAACCTCCGGCAGGAGGCGTTTGGCCCCCCGACGCGGAGAACCTTACGGGTAACCGGGGCTCCGGCTCGACGTGCAGGAGAAGGAACGGGGTGGTTTTTAGTCAGTAAGAGTCTGACACTCCCTCCCGCCTCACCCAGGCGGGAGCAGCCATTCGATAATTTACCCCCTTAAAAAAAAAACAAAAAAATAAATAAACTCTTTGTTTCAATAAAGAAAGAAATGTTCGATGCCATAAGAAAAGGGTATAATATCATGTAGGTACAAAATAATGTAATTAACGTACAATACACGAGTGTATGTGTGTCTGTGTCTATGTCTGTGTAGGTTTGTAGTCAATATAAGTCAACAGTGGAGTTTGACTCTTTAGCGGGCAATGTCAAATATTTTTACCTATTTCTTTTGTTTTATACACACACACACATACACGTGTGTATCAGTGTGTGTACCGAGTACTGACTCATGCGCACCTACTCACTACACCTCATGTGACAGCTAGCTGAAACATTAAAGTTTAAACATAGTGAAATGACACCTGGAACTGTAGTGGGTATATAGACGTGTTTTCATAATAGCTACGGTCCTTCTCATACTTACATAACCTCACACCTGTCTCCCATGGGGGTAGGCAGAGACTGTGGTACCTACCTACATATATATACCTATATATATTTATACTGTGCTACCTACGCCAATTGCTACGGTTCTTACCTACATGTTACCTCTTTTAACCTTTCACTTACAGAACCTTCCTACCTTCACTAGCTTCTGCCAGCGGCTTCGCCCGCGCTTTCAGGGGTAAATTGTAGTCTATGTTAGTATCTTATATCTTCGGAAGAGTTGGTTTTTGTGTTTGTTTGTTTGACCGCGCTAATCTCCGTAACTACAAGTCTGATTTGAATAATTATTTTTGTGTTAAATAGCGCATTTATCGAGGATGGCAATAGGCTATAAAACATCACGCTAAGATCAATAGAAGCTGAGCAGGGTGTGTGAAACGCTGCGCGGAAGTAGCTAGTAGACCATGAGTTATCTCTCTTCCATAAATTTCACCCGGTCCCTTCAGCCGTTTTGTTATGACTGAGTAACAAACATACAGACAAACACAAACTAACATATTTTCACATTTTTATTATTGGTTCAAGCTAATTTCAACCATCGGCCCTACAGTTATAACATAAAGTCCTCTTAAACTAACTTTCGACAAACTTATATGCGTTTGGTACAGTTATTGTGTCTAGGGATTGAGCCGCACAATTAAGTTTGTATTTTCGTGTATATACTTTTTCGGGATAAAAAGTACCTAATGTTATGCCCAGGAAATTAAAGTATAACCATACCAAGTTTCATCGTAATCGGACCGGTAGTTTTTGCGTGATGTGTGAACATACAGACAGACGAAAATTTTTATAATCACCTTTTATGGGTCCTGTATCTATAACATAACATAACATCACGCCTTTTAGCCCCGAAGGGGTAGGCAGAGGTGCACATTACGGCACTCAATGCCACTGTACAATTTAACACCCACTTTTCACTATTTATGTTATGAGCCCCATGTAATAGGGGGTGAGCCTATTGCTATATATCGGGCACAATTCCAGACTCCATGCTACTATTGAGATATTTTTTAAAACCCAGTAATACTTCGTCCGACCTGGGAATCGAACCCGAGACCCCGGGCACGGCAGTCGCACTTGCGACCACTCGGCCAACGAGGCAGTCCTATATCTATGTAGTAACAAACCCACTATTTATTTTATTATATATATTTTTAATGTACAGTATCTACACTTCTACAGTTTTTTTATTTGTATAGATTGCCTTTCGTCGTACTTTTACTCATTTTAGTAAGATAAGATTAGGAAACCCTTATTAGAATTTACCAAATCAGAAACTATTTCAAACCTAGCTTAGTACACATTGTTTTGGTCATCATCATCACAGGACTATTCGATTTCCGGGCGAAACAAATAATACTAAATCCATAGATTACATATAACACCTTTTATTCCTGAAGAGGTTGGCAGAGGTGCACATTACGGCGCTTAATTAATGCTACTGTACAATGTAACACCCACTTTTCACTATTTATATTATGAGTCCCATGTAATAGGGGGTGAGCCTATTGCCATATACCGGGCACAATTCCAGACGCCATGCTACTACTGTGAATTTTTTAAAAACCCAGTTATACTTTGTCCGGCCTGGGAATCGAACCCGAAACCCCTTGCCTGGCAGTCGCACTTGCGACCATGCGGTCAACGAGGCAGTTAATAGTTTATACATAAAAATATAAAACCTAGTAAGTACCTACATAAGAACCGGCTCAAATGTTGTTATATATAACCGAATTTTCCAGTTTAATTATCAATAACTACGTTTAATAATACATGTATAATAATATGGAAATTGTAGAAAAATATTAAACTCGACGATATTATGTTTAATTAAAAACTTTAATATAAACACGTTGACATACTGGCTGGCTTGTTTACACAAATGTAAGTAGGTACCAGACAAACGTATATAAAGCTATCCCATCTGTGGAACTACTTCAATTGATTATCGACTTTATTAGCAAACAATAGGGTTGAAAATGTATTACAGTTTTGGGATAGCTTCATGTGCTGTTTACAGATACCTAGACATTTGCAATTCAAATTGTAAGTAGGTAATGTATTTAAAAAATAATTATGTGGAAAACAAAGGTATATACATAATGTGACCAGACGTTCTTTTAATAATTACAAGTCCCATTGTCCTTGAATTGAACCCTGGGACAAATTAAAAAGTAAAATTCCCAGAGTCCCGTTTTTGGGAAAAAAATCAAATAAGTAATTTATATTTTCGGCGTTACATACCTTTTAACTCAAAATTTTTTAACGAAGTAAAGTTTTATGTGCGGTTATTAATGTTCACTTTAAAGTTTGTGTGCATAGGGTCTAAAATAGGATGTAGCTACCTGGTTTCTTACTGAATCTAGGCAAATAAACAAATGTCCCGTTTTGATTAAAAAATAAACCTTTGCCAAAAAAAGAAGCTATGGGATCATGATAAATACAACTCGAAATTGAATACACCAAACGCCTAACCTAGAGTTTGATTGATATGAATTGTGATCTAAGTATAAAATTACATTCAGTCTACAATAGCACGTTGACCTATCCTGATGAACGGTTCCATAAGTTCGGTAAGCGTAAGGGCCGCTAGGGAATGATCCAGGATCAAGGCGGTGGGTAATTTATTTCCCGCCACACTTTATTACATTATCTATCTTATAAAAAATATATTTTAGAATAATTTCCATGTTTGTCTCTTATTAAAACCCAGATTATAAATATAATTTTATTTATTTTAAACTGTAGCCAATACGTAGTGCACCAAATGAATCAACGTGAAACGGAATGAAAAAATATGATGACCTTGACAATTTGACAGATAAAAATTCAATGACCATCATGAGATTTTTCCCTATATTTGGGTAAAATATTTTCTGTAAAAGCTGGTCCCAAGATGATGTTTTTTTAAAACAATACTTTTATTATGAAAAAATAGTTCGATCACATAGAAATACATGTACTTAATTGTGTTAAGTTGAAATGATAGAGAATAATTAATTAATTAAATTAAAGGCAAACAATGATTCAATTAAATTCAAATCACGATGATCAATGGTAAATTGGTAACATAGATGTTAAAAGAGAAAAAATACAATTAAATGATCTTTTGCACCATTCAAATCAGAGGAAAACAATATTTTTATCCATTTACCTATAATAAATAAACTTTTTTTATTCAAGAAAAATTATGCATATTTTGAATACACATTGAATATAAACAATAAATAAAAAAAAGAAGTCACAAAAACAAATTACTTAGTTTCGAATTAAAGATTATTACACTAAAATATGAGGTAATTTGAAAAATATTGTTGGCAACATTGAAATGACGGCCATAGCAGTTTACCTAGTCACGCGAGAAAAAAAATGTGAATTAACGAAATGAATATTCTTTGTTTTAATGGCCTTTAAAGACTTATTAAACTAATTTTTAGTGATAATTAAAGCGTGCAATACAGTTGGCACTTGTTAAACATGTTGCTAAAGGAGTTTTGGTGGGAAAACACGATGAATTCCATCGTAATAAACTAATTTGTGAAACGAATAAAAAAAAGTGTTTTTTGTGCTATACAACTCAACATCAGGTAAGTTTTTTACGCAGAGAGTATCGATTAGTACGTGGAAGGACGTTCTGTGTGATTCGAATTGCCGTTTTGGCTATAAAAGTGAGGGAAAATCGTATTTTCGTGTTGTGTTTACATATTTCGTAGTGTTCTGGCGAACCTACACATTGTTTTGCTGATATATCGGGTTTAGGGTTCCGCGAAGTGGATGTGATGACGTAAATGGGACAGTGGGTTCATTAGCTCTGTAATGAGCCTTTGTTTTAGTGGGGATTGCAAGAAACTCTGTTATTTAAGTATACAAACTCACTAACTGTGTGAAAGTTTGAAATATTTTGAAGTTTTACCTTTTGGAAATTTCTTGTGTGTTTAATAAGTGTCTGGCTGTCTGTCTCAGATTAATACAGGCATGTGTTCAGTTTAAAAACACGTTTCACCACATGTTTTAGTTTCATTAAAGTTTTTGAAACTATTTCCCTTCAATCCAGTGTGACATTTGGTTTCATTAACAGCTGAAGTTAATGTCACAACCTAATCTACACGAAAAGCTAACTTTTTAATAGAAATGTGTAAAATATTAACTCCATCATAGGTAGTTGAATTAAAAAATAATTATTTTCTTTGTAATTGGACAAGTCACGATAATTACTTTGCATCAAAATAACTTGTTCAACAGAAATTATAAAAATATAATTAAAAAAACTCTATAAAATACATTCAATAATTCTCTGAAGTAACTAAAACATTTTCATTTCATTTCCAGGCCAACAATATGAACCACCACGGCAATATGGAGATGGATCCGTTAAGTTACGACTACCCGACGTACAGCTATCAAGCACCAACGTACCCATACCCTAACAAACTACAAGCAATGTACCAGGCGTACGCACAGACCAACACAAACTTCGTACCTACCGTGCACAACACACAACACAATACGCACAACATTCCGGAACCCGTTAAACCAAATCCAGTGCTACCAACATCACAAACCGAAGTTAAAGAGGTCAACAGTAACGATAATGTAATACAACCAACAAGTAAGAGAAAAAAGAAAGATAAGAAAGGAGAAAAAGGTACATTCTGTTCGGAGAAGATAACGGATGCTTCGTTCAAGTTCTACGGATGCTCTGTATGTAACATAAGTTATAGTGCACTCCACGAACTCGATCAGCATGTCACTATACACAAGAACAGATTGACAAGCTACCGACTCCGTCTCCGGAACCAATTCAAAAAGAAACAAATAAAAAAAGAAAAGAAAAAGTTAAAAAAATTAAGTAAAATTAAAAAAGAATCAGAAATGGATGTCGAAATTAAACCGGAAGACGGTTACATAGGTAACGAGAAAGCCGCTGATTTAGTAATTAATAATGAGATAGAGAATAATGGTAATGTAAATAACGGTAACAGTGTAATAGATAATCAAAGTAGTCAATTTAATTCGGTGAATGGTGAAATTAGTAATGTAAGTAACGATAATAGTTTAAATAACGGTGATATGTGTAACAAAGTGGACAGAGTTAACGATAAGAGTATGAATGAGACGGAGATTAACGATATGGAGAAGATATACAAGTGCTTTGCGTGCAATAAGCAGTTCACACTGAGCTACTACCTCAAGCTACATGTTCGATCCCATACAGGTAATTCTCTCATAATATCATGTACTTTTTCCTCTAGAAGGGGGTAAGCAGAAGGTCCTTATGTCAGTTATGTCTTATCAGTACTGAATGGTTTATGAATAAAAACCAGTAAGATAATTTTATCGTTCGTCTGGTAGATTAATTAAAAACATTACACACGTATTTTTTATTTTCTTACAAAAGTAAATACGTTCGACGATATATTAATTTGAAACATCGTTTGACGGTGCCGTCAAATGATGTTTCAAATTAATAGACCTCCTATTCTGAAACTTAACGCCATATTTTTTCATTATCTAATTGACGGACTAATTAGATTTCATCATATCTATTGTTCATAAATCAGGCATGATTCCATACTTTAAGCTTAAGTACATTCTTAGTAATTATAATTGTAAACTTGTTCGTATATTATGCAGATACAACAACAATAATGCAAGAAAGCAGTAGTAGACTTGGTGAAGTCTATTATAATACTATACTACTGCTTTCTTGCATTGTCTAGTAGAAAATGTCAAATAATACTTCATCCTTTTTTATGGAATAAGCCGGCAAACGAGCAGACGGATCACCTGATGGAAAGCAGTCGGCGCCGCCCATGGACACCTGCAACACCACGTTACGGGCCTTTTGGGGATTCGGAATTTGAGTATTTCGGGATTGGGCAGGGGAAAGGGGTAATTGGGTCTCCGGTAACCTCACTCACACGTCGGTTTTCTGCTCGTTGGTGGTATCACTCCGGTCGAGCTGATCCAGCAGTGCCGAAGCACGGCTCTACCACACTTGAGATCAATACTATTAGTCTATTCACCCGTTTACTATTGTGTTCTACACTCTGTCCTATACATTATCCCACCTACACAAAGAGTATAAGCAGAAACCATTCCATTACAGATGAGAAGCCATACACATGTGCAGCGTGTGGGCAGTCGTTCATTACGGCGAGCAAACTCGGGAGACATAACAAGCGGATACACCTCGCCGAGCGATACCAGTGTCGGATCTGTTTCAAAATATTCTCCAAGTAAGTCGGAAATCGAACCAATATCAACATCAACAGCCTATAGGTGACCAAAGGCCTCTCCTCACACGGAGAAGGTTTGAGCATTAATCACCACGCTTGCTCAATGCGGTTTGGCGATATCAAACTGATAATTAGAAATTGGTGTGACTTCCCAACTAGTAAAATTCAATACTTTTTTCGAACTACAACCTATGTTTTACAATGAATAAATGAATCTGAATCTGAAAACTGTCAAAAATGACAGTTTTCCATACATTTTGTACGAGATTGTGTATTGTGACGTCACGTTTTATTAGCGTCTAACAGGGTACATATTTCATAAAAATAGCTGGAAAAATGCTAAAATTAAATACTATATAAAAATAAGTCGGGTTTTTCTTCCTGACGCTATAACTCCAGAACGTACGAACCGATTTTGTATGTAAGACCTTATTATGTAAACTACCTATGTTTAACAAATAAATGATGATTCTGATTCTGATTCTGATTCTGATTTCTACGGTTTTGCATTCGTTGGAAAGGTCTCAGGCTCCGTGAGGTTTATAGCAAAGAAAATGCACTTTAATCACCAAACGAAATGTTATATAAAACGAAGCCATCTGGTGGCGAAACGGAGTTCGCCGAGTTTGCTAGTTGGTCATAAAATCAATTAATGAAAGTGTGATTATTTTTTTAATATTTTATTGTATTAAACAGTCGAAATAATGTATTTTTGGTTAAGGCAAGTACCTAAGCGTAAGTCCAGGTTTCCTCACGATGTTCTCCTTCACCATTTGTCAGTGGTGTCTGAATAATCTTAGAAAGTACATATAACTTGGACAAAGTCACGTTGGTACTTGCCGTTGGTAGGTTTCGATCCCACACCCTCATGCATTAGAAGCTAAAATAACTACTGACAGTATGCAATGTGTTACAGGTTCGAATTGTTAACGGCACACTTTGATAAAACGCATCCCGAGGACAAATTGGAAGGAGAACCCTATGGTACGACAAAACACACCGTAACATCTATTTCGTTTCCGTCCCGCGGCAAAACAACTCGCCATAATGAGTACTTTCAATGTATAAAGTAAACACAAAAATATAAAGATGAAATTTATAGTAATACGTCTATGAGACACTAGACGTATGTACATTTGTAGCCCAATAGGGCTGATGCCGATTCGCAGTCGCGGAGAACCTAACGGGTTACCGGGACTCCGGCTCGACGTGCAGGAGAAGGAAAGGGGTGGTTTTTAGTCAGTAAGAATCTGACACTCCCTCCCGCCTTACCCAGGCGGGAGCAGTCATTCGATGATTTTCCCCCCTTAGAAAAAAGACGTACATTTGTAGTCACTACTTACATCGCACGTGCACCCCATGAGAAATACCTTTTCGACAATGACACGGCGTGATGTTTTGATAATGTACTATGAGTTCGTATGAGCTGTCGAAGTTTGCTTCCTGCAATGGTTCACCAGTTTGTTTTTATTTGTTTGTAAAACTATTGTATTACTGAGACAGAACCATTTTACTTCGGGACGAACACGAAATAGATTTCACGGTGTGTACTTTAATTCTTATTTATTTATGGCATAAGCCGGTAAACGAGCAGATGGATCACCTGATGGTAAGTAATAGGCGTCGCCCATAGACACCTGGAAAACCAGAGGCGTTATAAGTGCGTTACCGGCCTTTTGGGGATTAGTAGTTTGAGGATCGTTGGGGATTCAGGGATTGTGTAGAATGGGAGGGGGGGGGGGGGCTCACTCACACGACGAAACACAACGCAAGCGTTGCTTCACGTCGGTTTTCTGTGAGGCCGTGGTATCACTCCGGTCGAGGCGGCCCATTCGTGCCGAAGCATGGCTCTCCCACACTTAAAATTCAAATTTATTTCCAACGTAAAGCATTTATATTATCATCAAACGGTTTCATTTAGCTTGCCCCGTGTGTTTGTCTGGGTCTGTTCTGTAGTAATTGTAATGTCACCCCCTTCCTGGCGACAGATCGATCTGATATTTGGTACACACTCTTAATCTCGATGACCATACAATATAATCTACAACTACCTCCATTATGGATATCAAACGGCTATGGCTTGATTGGCAGGATAGAGCTCATTGACACTGTTTGACAATTTTTTTTTTCATATATTTTCAGATTACAACGCTATCCTCCCGTACCTCAAAGAGTTGGAGGAGCAGCTACAACTAGATGAAGCTAGACACAACACAAACAGTACACAGAGTACACAGAGTACACACGGTACACACGGGACACACGATACACAGAGCGTGTGTTGGGACGTGCCCGGAGTGTTGGAAGCTGGTCTGTCGGAGCCCGCGCCGCCTGACATAAAGGAGGAGGTGAGATATACAAATTGTCATATTATTGATACATGATACATCCTAGTTAACTAGCTACTTCTGCGCGGTTTCACCCGCTCTGCTCAGCTCCTGTTGCGTGACGTGATGTTTTATAGCCTATAGCCATTCTCGATAAATGCGCTATCCAACACAAAAAGAATTATTCAAATCAGACTTGTAGTTACGGAGATTAGCGCGTTCAAACAAACAAACAAAAGAACGGATTCTTCCGCTTTATATAATAGTATAAAGTATAATATGTAAGATATAGTTAGTAATTTCTTGCACTCACTAGGTGGCGTGAGTGTGGCTTTCACATTTCAGGGGTCACTTTTGGATATAGACGCCACAAAAATTGGGCATATAGGGTAGTAGACAGTGTATGAAAAATAAATGTAATCAGTCAGTCAGTTAGATAATGGTAAAATATTAGACACGTATGTTTTTATTTGATCGTATAAAGTTACAATACTTAGATGAAACGGAATTAAGTTTAGGAGCTTTTTTTCATGTGATAAGCCGGTATACGAGCAGATGGTTCACCTGATGGTAAGCAATCGGCTTCGCCCATGGACACTCGGACGGAAAACTTGTGGTGTTACAAGTGCGTTACCAGACTTTTGGGGATGAGAAATTTGAGGATTGTCGGGCTTCAGGGATTGGGGAGGTTTGGAAGGTGGGGACGGTAATTGGGCCTCCGGTAACCTCTTCCGGTAACTCATACGACGAAACACAACGCAAGTATTGTTTCACTATGGTTTTCTGTTCGTTGGTGGTATCACTCCGGTCGAGCCGGCCCAGCAGTGCCGAAGCATGGCGAGCCCACACTTAGTATTCAGAAGTTTGAACATTAACAATGTTAAAGAGATTGTTACCTCGTCTGTGTGTTGGCGTTTCTACTCACAAAAAGGAAAATCTAATTTTTAAACTATTTAGTAGTCTTATTTACTGAATATAATTTCATCACGGTACCAGTTACAAACAACGTTACCATACTACAATCTCTGCTTACCCCCCTCCAGGTACAAGACGATGACCAAAAAGACACAATACCGAAAGTAGAAGTAATGGTCGAGGAGGTGAAACTGGACTGTGACGTCACTGTCAAGGAGGAGCTACTTGACGAGGACATTGGGGGTATTGGAGATAACGGGGATTTGGGGGATAACGGGGATAGCGACGCGGGGGACGTGGGGGATGTGGTGGAAGACGCTGGTGGGGATGATGTCGGCGATGTCAAGAATGAAGATAGCGAGTGAGTTTCGTTATTCTATTTTTTTTTTTGTTTTATTTTGTCTGCCTCGTTGGCCGGGTGGTCGCAAGTAGTACTTGCCTTGAAATCTTTATTAATAATAAATGTTTATAAACGATTTCAAGGAATATAATAAAGCTTATTGTGAACTTTTTACTTAATTTTTTTTATATTTTTTTTTGTTATAAGGCCACGGGCTCAGAACCGAGCGAACCATTAACTGGTTACTGCTGAAGTAAAAAAAAAACATTTCGCTTGATTGGCTAGCGTGTTCACTTTATATGTAACTATACGGTTTATGGTCTATGACAGATTTTTATGATCAATTTCCTCTCAGTTGAAAACTCGCAAAATACTTTACTGAGCCCTATCATGAAACGCTATGTTTGTCAACTGCAGCGTCGGTAGCGGATTAAGTAGTAACAGTCGTCAAAACTCAAAAAATCATTTTTCTGTCTACTTCTCCCGACTTACTCCGGATTAGTAACTAATCTAACTACAGTTAATTCTTTAATCGACAGCTAGCATAAGATTCTGTACAATGATATCGTCATTCAGTCACAAAGTGATGGATTATATTTCGACTGATCACATTACATAAAAAAATTATGTGCTCATCTGACGTATAGTCCATCACTTTACAAAGTCGACGGTTTCCTTTCTTCAAGATTATGCTAACTATAAAGTAGACGAGTCTCCCAAAAAATACTTTATTAGATGTTTGGACGGCTACCACTACCCAACCCACCACTGTTACGACAGCTGACGCTCACGAAGCTTCCTGATACAACTCCTAGAAGCATCCCACAAGTTATCGACTGAAAGAAAATAGCTAATAAAAATTAGTGCCTGTCAATATGGATATATTGTGGTGTGATATGGTGTTACTGTGACCGGCGTACAGTGGCGTGCAATTTGAAGTTAGGAATTGTGACAAAAATATGAATAATTTGAATAAAAAATCCAAAGTAAAATGTTTGACTCCAGCTCCTTTTAACGCTCATAACTCAGTCCAGATTTCCATATATGAGCCCATAGACAATTTCGTTTGTAATGACATTCTAGATAATATTTTACATAAATCATCGACTGCCGCCAGTAAAAAGAAAGGCACACATATTAGTCTAATGCCCTTTGTTGGAAGAATCCTAAAATTAAGTCGGTCATAAAATCAATTAATGAAAGTGTGAATATTTTTTAATATTTTATTGTATTGAACAGTCGAAATAATTTATTTTTGATTAAGAAAAGTACCCAACTATAGTAAGATAGGGTACAGTGAAGTCATCACATTTATGAACAAAATGTCTCCATTCCGCCCCCTAGCGCATCAGACTCGGATTACTTCCCCAGCAACACGTGGGCGGCGGCCCCGCCGGCGTCCCCGGGGGCGCGCGGGGCGGGGCGGGGGCGCGCGCGGGGCGCGGGGGCGCGCACGTGCGCCGTGTGCAACAAGTGCGTGAGCAGCGCGTCGTACATGCGCGTGCACATGCGCACCCACTCGGGCGAGCGGCCATACAAGTGCACGCACTGCGGACGCGGGTTCATCACCAGCTCCAAGATGCATCGACACGTACTCACTCACCAGGCCGGTGAGTACATCATTTGAGGATCCATTTTATTTTAATTTTTTATTTTCAATGACTGCCTCGTTGGTCGGCTCAGTGGTCGCAGGTACCACTGCTGAGCAAGGGGTCTCGGGAAGAACACTTCTGGCCACATCTATTGGCCCACCTAGGTCTAGAGTTTAGGTTTCGATGGGCCATCGAATTATAATCCATTACCGAAATATAATTGCTAGATTGAACAAAAACTGTTGATGCAGTTTTAAACCTGATACATTTTACCGTCTTTTTCGATCGTATTGTTTTAAATTTGAATTCAGAATACCATACGACATGGAGCTACGCCTAACAAATCGGATATGCGCCTTGTTAAAGGCAATTGATTTTTAAATATAAAACATGTTTTATCAAATAAAGGTTTAATTTAATAACCGGTGTTGCCTCCACGATTAGGCATAGAAATTATCAACCGCTCTATGAAATTTTGAGGGATCATCTCTCATTCCAATTCTATGGCAGTTTTCAACTCCTGCATCGTCTGGGCAACTGGCTGACGAGCCCTAACACGTCTTTTTAGCTCGTCCCACGTGTGCTGAATGGGGTTCATGTCTGGGCTTCTAGCTGACCAGTCCATAACTGTGATGTTCACATCCCGAAGATATTTCCTGACGCTGACGATGCCGGCCGCATGGGCTCTTGCATAACGAGGGCGGGTCAATAAGTCTGTGACTTTTTAAATGAAACACAAATTATTAGATAAAACGTTATCTTAAAGTCAAAGTCAAAGTCAAAATCATTTATTTCAATTAGACCAGAAAGGCACTTTTGAACATCAAACAATAAAATTAGAAGTGAATGCTATTTGCTCATTCCAAAGTGTAGATTCCTATGGAGAAGAACAGCAAGAAACTCCATATGTTACTCTTTTTCAATCAGGTTCACAATACAATTGTCCAGTTACATAGTTTGCTGTTTGGATGTGCGAGAACAATGTAACACTAAAATCTAGTCAAGTGATTGAAAAGAAAATAACCTTAAAGACAATAAATATACAGTCTGGAGCTGACCAGTCCCAGTTGACGGCGCCCGTTCACGAACATGACACGTACACCAGCACCGCCCAACTCAACCATATTGTAGGGAATCGAGCGATCCACTGCACGCGCCACCGCCAATGAGACCTTTGAGTGAGCATGACAACTCCAAGCTGACACAAATGCATTCTACTAGTCTAATTTAATATTAAGTTAATTACAGGGCTCTCACATTCACAATGGTTATCTAAGTTAAACATATACAATTTAGCAAAATGGCTGTATTATTTACAATTTCATTAAAACATCAGTGTTTTTTGTTATCCTGTGGAGCCGGACTAGCCTGTATCCAAGCATTTTTATCAACTATATAATCATTAAGTTTGTAATACGCTTGTTTACATAAAGTTTTCTTTTACATAATTTAAATTTTGATTCATTTAGGTGTTGTATGTCGCCTGGTATCTTATTATAACATTTAACACAGAATCCCATGAACGACTTACTTACTTTCGCCAATCTCGAAATTGGCTGACTTTAATCTATTTCCATGTCTAGTTTGATAGTGGTGTCTGTCCGACACTTTACCAAATAACTGTAGGTTTTTCCTAACATACATGATGTTTTCATAAATAAATTGACATGGAACGGTCATAATGTTGATCTCCTTAAAACCTTTCTCTGAGAGATTCGCGACGACCTAGATTGTAGATAGATAGCTCTGACGGCGCGCTTTTGCAATACAAAGATAGACTCAATGTCAGCAGCGTGTCCCCACAGCAAATGCCATACGACATAATGCTATGAAAGTAACTGAAATACACTAGTCTTGCCGTTTCTATGTCAGTTAACTGTCGTATCTTCCAGACAGCATACGCTGCAGAGCTCAATCGTCCCGCTAACGATGTAATATGAGGACCCCATTGCAATTTGTCGTCTACAGTAATTCCCAGGAAAGTTGTCTCTTTTACAAACTCTAATTTCTCACCATTCAATAATATTATGTCACATTCGTTGCTTTTAACATTTGGCAAAACAAATCTAATACATTTTGTCTTTTTATTGTTTAGTATTAGGTTATTTAATGTAAACCAATTTTGAACTTTAATTAGGGCATTATTTACGTCGTCATAATTATTTGTGCGTCTTTTTTTTAAAAACTAATGAAGTGTCATCAGCAAATAATACCATCTGCGGTTCATTTTTAAATAAATGGGGCAAGTCATTTACGTACACTAAAAATAAGAATGGACCTAGTATCGAGCCCTGTGGTACACCCATAGATATGCTAGCACCCTGTGAATTTACTTTATTTACTTGTACTTTAAGTTGCCTATCCTGAAGGTATGATTTCAACAGATTTAGCGACGTCCCCCGAATGCCGTAGTGTTTCAGCTTCAGCAATAGTGTCTCATGTTCAACACAGTCGAATGCCTTCGAAAGATCACAAAATATTCCGATGGCATCCCGTGCCTCTTCCCAAGAGGCGAACACCCGCTTAATTAGAGCTACTCCCGCGTCAGTAGTGCAGCGACCTTTGGTGAATCCGTATTGGTGATCGTGAAAGATAGAATTCATATTAAAGTGACGCAACATTTGAGAAAGCATCAACCTTTCAAACACTTTGCTGAGCGCTGGTAAAATAGAGACCGGCCTATAGTTATTGGGTTCTGCGCTATCACCGGATTTAAACTTATTTTTCAATGTAGTTGCCTTTGAGCTCTATACACTTAGCCCGTCGCGGAGAACCTAACGGGTAACCGGGGCTCCGGCTCGACGTGCAGGAGAAGGAACGGGGTGGTTTTTAGTCAGTAAGAGTCAGACACTCCCTCCCGCCTCACCCAGGCGGGAGCAGTCATTCGATGATTTTCCCCCCTGAAAAAAAATACACTTAACCCAACGTTTCTCCAATTTCTTAACCCCTTCCGAAAAATATGTTTTGTCGAGGTCTTTAAAATAGGCATTTATTTGTGAGATGACTTCGTCGTTGGAGACAAATCGCTTTCCACCGAGCCATTTCTTTAAGTTTGGGAACAAGAAGTAGTCACAAGGGGCTAGATCGGGAGAATAGGCCGGATGAGGGAGCAATTCGTAGCCTAATTCATGGATTTTTGCCATAGAAACTGCACATGTGTGCACCCGTGCATTGTCCTGATGGAAAAGGACTTTTTTCTTGACCAAGTGCGGTCGCTTTTCTTTCAATGCCTCATCGAATCGACCCAATAAGTTGCTGTAATATTCGCCATTGATTGTTTTTCCTTTTTGAAGGTAGTCAATGTGGATAATACCGCGTGCATCCCAAAAAACAGTCGCCATGACTTTATTGGCTGACAAACCCACCTTTACCTACTTTGGCGCCAATTCACCCCGACAAACCCACTGTTTTGACTGCTGTTTGGTCTCCGGTGTGTTGTGGTGGATCCACGTTTCGTCCACGGTTACGAAACGGCGCAAAAACTCGTTCATATTGCGATTGAACAACGCCAAACATTCGTTTGTGGTCGATTGTGAGCAAACGCGGCATCCATCTTGCGGATACCTTTCTCATATTCAAATGATCGTTTAAAATTGAAACTATTGAGCCATGCGAGATGCCTATGGCTTCCACAATCTCTCTCACTTTTAATCGCCGATCGGTTAAAAACATATCGTGTATTTTTTTAGCTATTTCGGATGTGGAGACCTCAACTGGGCATCCAGATCGTTCGGCATCTTCCGTGCTAGTACGGCCACATCGGAATTCAGTAAACCACTTTTTTATCATGGAAATGGATGGTGCAGAGTCCCCATAATATTTATCAAGCTTAGCCTTTGTTTGCATAATGGATTTTTTCCGCAAAAAATAATGCTTAATGAGCACACGAAATTCACTTTTTTCATGTTTCTTCTCAGTCTGTCAAAAACTAAATGTCACAGCTTGTTCAATTTTTGACAGGAGTCATCTGACAGATGACTGTTGACGGGAGCAGTGTTGCCATTTCAATTAAGAGGCGGAAAAATAAAAAAGTCACGGACTTATTGACCCGCCCTGGTATCACGCATAAAAAGGAAATTTGTGCCCACATAGTCCGCGTATAGTACCACGTGAGGTTCTAAGCACTCACGAATGTGCCTTCCAGCATTTAATGTCGGCAGCCGTGGTCCTGTAACAACCTCACGTCGAGTTTTGCCGCTCGCGGATATACCGCCCCAGACAGTCCATGAGCCACCGCCATAAGCAACCGTCTCATCAAAGCAGCATTGTGCGAAACGCTCTCTCTTACGTCGGTAGACCTTCTTCCTTCCATCATTGCCATGTAACACAATTTTAGACTGATCAAAAAAGAGTACATGGCTCCAATCTTGCTGTGTCCAATTTAAATGACTGCGTGCGAAATGAAGGCGCGCTGTTTGGTGGGCTCGCGTTAGTTTGGGCCCATTCACTGGCTTGTGTGGTACCATATCGCGTTCTTTTAACCTTCTCCGAACAGTTCGAGCGCTCACAGATACTCCGTGGAAGTCGCGAAGTTGGTTGGTTCGCGAATGTGCCAGGTTCAAAACTGCATAAAAACTTTTTGCTCGACCTAATATAAAATTTTAGCTAGGACCAAACGAAACTGAAAATACAAGGTGGGCCAATAGATGTGTCCAGAAGTGTATTATACAGTAATCAAAACTACTTCTATACAATCATTCAAACATTCAACATTCGTTCAAATATTCATTGTTATGGTTAGATTATAACCTCAAAATCTGATACCATTTTTAATATATCTTTGCTGCAGCTAGTCCGCTATAAAAACAACATGTTTTAGGAGTCTACAAATGATAGAGAATACAATACATAATTATCCGATACTCTTGGCTCCAGGGCCAACAATGTATGGACGCAGAACAATGTCCTTTACGTCTAGTGTTTCATGGCGTATTACTATAAATCACATCTTTATATTTTTGTGTTTATATCGAAAGTAGTCTTTACGGCAAGTTGTTTTACCGCGGGACGGAAACGATATAGATTTCACGGTGTATAGGTATTTGTCAAAGCAAAATGATCTCTATGTGTTAACAGATAAGGGCGAACTCAAAACGGAAGGTGAGACCAAAGAGGAGGGGGCCGAGAAGGAGACAGCAGAAGAAGAGGGAGATAAAAAGTAAGTTACATACAAACATACATACTATATAGCTGTATAACACATTAGTCACCACCCTATATCTTTCCGCGGGTGTCATATACCCGACTAAGGGTCTACTAACAGAGGCCGTGCAGCAGCATTATCTGATAAACCTGAACCTTTTATACTGCGATCTCCAGCCCATCTGCCAAGCGTGGAGATAAGATGATAGGAGATCTAGTGGAGATCCATAGTCCAACACTGGACTGTCACGTTGATGTTATTACCTTGCAGGCCAGTAAAGAAGCGAGGTCGCAAGTCGAAGGCCGAGGTTCAAGCCCCGGCTGAGGAAGGGGAGAAGCGCCGGAAGCATCAGAAGCGACCTCATGCGTGCGAGTACTGTAACCAGAAGTAAGTGTCATCATTCAAAGTAATAAATACGAGATACTTCAGTACAACATAATCCCACGAATTGAATTGAACAGCATTTATGGTCATGCAAACTGAACGTGTGTACAATATTTCAGCTCAATCGGTTGAAGATATCTGCTTCACAGTTCAGTTGTAAGAATTCACTACACACATCCACACACACATATTCTCTCTCTCTCTCCTCTCTCTCTCTCTCTCTCCTCTCTCTCTCTCTCTCTCTCTCTCTCTCTCTCTCTCTCTCTCTCTCTCTCTCTCTGTCTCTCTCCCTCTCTCCTCTCTCTCTGTCTCTCTCCCTCTCTCCTCTCTCTCTCTCTCTCTCTCCCTCTATCCTCTCTCTCTCTCTCACACACACACACACACACGCACACACACACACACACACACCCTCACACACACACACACACACACACACACAACACACAAACATACTCTTATATACATTGAAATGTACGAGTAAAGCTTGACTACGTCATAGTATAAAGAACACAGTAGGTTATCTAAGGCCGCCCGCCGAGTTATTAGCCTACTCTTGCGTTGATCCCCAGGGTTGTCACTTTTACTTTTTGTTAATATTTTCGAACAAGCAGCACTTGATCTAAATTTATGAAATGAAAAGCATTATGATTGAATATTTATCAATTTTATAAATTTAGTAAAAATAAAAGATTATTAACTTCTTAAAATAAACTTTAGCTCTATACCTAGTATTCAGAAAGTAAATTTGGGAATACATTTATATGGAAAAATGCGACACGGCCACGCTCTTAACAAATCAGATAAACTGTGAAATAAACAATACAATACCACATTTTCTTATAATATTTAAGTATAGTAGTTAGTAGGTATTCTTCTTTCAGGTTGAGTAGAACTATGAAAATGATAAGAGTAAGAATAAGTACTAGGTTATCTCATCATCAATACCTACAAATTATATTATGCTAGAAAAAGTGACTAGCTTACCTTTCCTGTTCAATAGGTACCCAATCTGAACAGAGACAGTTCTGGAATCGATTAATTATTAAGACACCCAAACACACAGCAATACGTTCTTCTACGGTTATCATTTTTATTTCATTTAACAGTGCCGAAAAGTGATGCGCGCGCGAACCTCGTGCAGTGTTAGCCCTGCCTGGCGCACTGAGAAACGGGTCGAGATTTTGTTAAAGTGTGCGTGCGTCGACGCATAGATACTATGGCGCACACATATAAGCCGCGCGCGGAGCATTTGTATGAAGATAACCTACTTTGTTCTTTATACTATGACTACGTTCGGGCGTCAAAGGGGTTCATATTCGCGAGCTGCGTGACGTCATCCACCGAGCAAAGTGTTTTACGATGACTATTGTACAGAAACAAAAGTTGATTATCTCTGTTATTAGTGAGAAATTATCGAAAACTAAAAGAATCTCCAATAATACTTTGTTTAACCAGGCACTCGAACTTGAGACACATTGACAATATCCTCCCACCCTATCAGACAGGTATCTCCCGAAGCTCCCATGTCCGGTGAGGACCTGCGTCAGGCGGTAGGTGAGAACGCCGTAGCCATTCCTCAAAGAGGGGACTTGTCACTGCAATGGCAGCGAGCCCAGCCCATGGGAGTAGGCAGAGACTATGGAACGCCAATTGCTACGATTCCTACATACCTCTATTGTTTCATTAACAGTCATCAGTCTTTTCAAGCATGATAATCGATTAGGGGTACTTTTAATTTGGCCATTCTTCAATATATCGGCACTCAAGTTCATCTAGGGCGTCCTCTACCGGTGGTCCCATTCATATTCAGTTTGTATATTTCTTTCGTGTTTCATATATCCTTCTACATGTACAAACCATCGTAGCGTGATGTTTTATAGTCTATATACCCTTATGAATGATATAAAATTAGAATCATAAAAAAGAATGGGAGATCCATGCTTTGGCATTACTGGGCCCGTGTTTCATCTATGCTTCTACATGTACAAACCATCGTAGCGTGATGTTTTATAGACTATATACCCTTCCTCGATGAATGGACTATCCGACACAAAAAAGAATGCAAGCACGAATATCTGACTTGGAATTTTTAAAATATTTTTCTGATAACTGGAACCTTGCCGATCAACTGGTGCCATTTGATCGTCGACTTCAGGGACACCCTGTATAAGTATAGATTTGGTCTTCGTGTAGATTCCTCCACCTGAAAATGTTGGAAGTCCACCGCGCTACCCACGCGGAGTCCGAGCGAGTGCTGCGCTGCCAGTACTGCCTGGCAGAGCTGGCAGACCTGGCAGACAGGACGGAACACGAGGCTCAGCATACTGGGCCGAAGCCCTACCTCTGTACCATCTGCGGGAAGACGTACAAGAAGAGGGAGACCATGGTATGTTTCTATTTATTATTTACTAGCTGCTGCCTGCGACTTCGCTCGCGTTACCGTGGGATTGTGTTATTTCAAACCATAATCTACTCCTGTTCCAAAGGGCATTGCCTAGAATTGGTGGCTTTCTTTTTTCTGGCGTCAGTCGATGATTTATGAACAATATTGCCTATGGGCTCATATATAGAAATTTCAGTCCGGACCGAGTTACGAGAAAGGTGCTGGAGTCTATCATTTTATTTTGCATTTTTTAATTCAAATTATTTATATTTTCTTTACAATTTCTGTCTTCAAATTGCGCGCCTCTGTACGCCTGGTACAAGTATAGGTACAATATCACGCCACAATATGGATGGTATGCCAAGCACTAATTTTTATGAGCCATTTTCTCTCAGTCGATAACTTGTGGGATGCTTCAAGGAGTTGTGTCATGATCGTACGTGAGCGTCAGCTGCGATACCAGTGGTGGGTTGAGTAGTGGCAGCCACCCAAACATCTAAGTACTATTTTTTAGCCGTTTACTTCTGACTGGAAATTAATCTGCTTTATAGTTAGCATAATCTTTTGAAGAAAGAAATTCGTCAACTGGTTGTGAAGTGATGGACTATACGTCAGATGAGGGCACAATATTTTCATGTTTGTGTGATCAGTCGAAGTATAATTCGTCACTTTGTGACCGGATGACTATATCTTTCTGTGTTTTGACGTCTGCCGCTGCTCAATCCGCTACTGGAGCCGCAGTTGACAAACATAGCATTTCATTATAGGGCTCAGTGAAGTATTATGCAGGATTTCGACTGAGAGGAAATTGGTCTTAAAAAACTGTTATAGGCAAACCGTATACATTAAAAGTGAAGGCGCTAGCAAATCAAGTGAGACGTATTTTTTCCTCGTGTAGTTGCCTTAATGACAAAAAACGCACGCTTTATTTCTTGAAATCGTTTATAAATATTGATTTCAAAATATTTCTGACACATAAATGAACGTACCTCGTGTGTTCATAAGTTTTGAGGCAAACTTTTTGCTTATAAAAATAAAATAAAAATTACTGGCTGCTGTATATTTCTTTTTCTAATTTTGAATTTGGAATGTTAACTTTTAATATCTATGATTTCGGATTATTTTATTTAAATTTTCTCGTAATGGAGGGAACAAAAGAATTACGTGCGACCGTCATTTCATTATTTAAGGTGGGAAGAAAACCTATGGACATTTTCCGAGAACTGAAAAGTTTTGGTGTGAGCCGTAACTTCGTGTATTACACTATTAAACGATACCAGGAGACAAGTTCTTTACATGATCGGCAAAGAAGTGGTCGTCCACGCTCTGTGAGGACGCCTGCGAACATTAAAATCATCCGAGAGCGACTTCGCCGAAATCCATGTCGCACTCAGAAGAAACTCGCTCTGCAGACCAATATTTCGCGCGTTTCAGTCAACAGAATACTGAAATATGATCTCAAGGTTAAGGCGTATAGCCGTAGAAAAGTACACTTTTTAAACGATCGCCTTCGTCAATTGCGACGCGAACGTTGTCCAATACTGCTTAGGAGACACGATGCGAGGAAGATACTCTTCACCGACGACAAAATCTTTACCGTCGAAGAAAAGTTCAATCGACAAAACAATAAAGTGTATGCCAAAAGTAGCAAGGATGTCCCACCTTCAGCACGGAATGTCTCGCGTACTCATCATCCGGCTAGTGTCATGGTATGGTGGGGAGTTTCGTACGAAGGTGTCACTCAGCTTCATTTCTGCCAACAAGGCGTCAAGGTGAAAGCCAAAAATTATCAAAGTGACATTCTAGAGACTGTTGTGAAACCCCTGTCTAATACCCTATTCCATAACAAGTATAGGGTTTTCCAGCAAGACTCGGCGCCATCCCATAAGGCTAAAACCACCCAAGCTTGGCTGAAGGAAAATGTGCCGGCCTTCATTGCGGCGAACGAATGGCCCTCCTTCAGCCCCGACCTCAACCCGCTGGATTATTCTCTATGGACCGAATTAGAGCTCAGAGCCTGCCGAAAGTCCCACCCAAACTTGGAGTCACTTAAGCGAGCTCTTGTCCGAGAAGCGAAGCGAATTCCTCTGGAAAAGATTCGTGCCGCCATTGATGACTGGCACTGGCCAAATCGTCTAAGGGCATGTATTAAAAACAGGGGTGGTCATTTTGAATAATAATTATATTTAATTTTTACTTACTATCTACTTAATGTTTGTTATTGTTTTTATAAATATAAGTTTAT